CATGGTCCACAACTTACTGTGTGCTTCCAGGTTCCTATATGTATATACACCATTTTTTAAAAAAAAATAGGCTCATACAACAGATACATTATTTTGGTGACTTAATCATTTAACATGGCATTTTTCCAGATAATGCAGATAGATCTACCCCTCTTTTTGAACTTTATTGAAATATAATTTATATGCCATAAAATTCATCCATAAGACATACCATTTCAATCTCACTTTTTACTAGTTAATTTCACTGTGTAATTTACATTTGGCCTCTCCTATATTAATGGGCATGTAGATGGTTCTGAAATCTTCTCTTACAGAGAGTGCTGGAAGGCACTCTTCACATAATACCTCTCTATCCACTGTAAAATGACACTGTAAATCACAGTTTTAAAATTGTCAGTAATGATGCATATCTCTTAGGTGTTTACTAACTACTCATATTTCTTTGTGTGAAGCAATAACTGCTCAGGGCCAACGCCCCTCACCCCTGCTGGGTTCATCACTGTTAGCACGTGGCACTGTGGCCTGATCCCCAGGGAGCCATGCCTCTAAGGGAGAGTGAGAATATTTATTTGCTAGACTGTAGATTTCCCCCCACAGCCATTGGAGGACCTTCTCTGAAGGAGGGTTAATGCTGGCTAACTCAGAGCCTGGTCTTCCTCTGGTCCCGGAACAGTGAGTCCTTACCAACAGATGTTTATGAGCACTAAACCAATTACAAACCCCTATTGTCTGACTCTGGGGTCAAGGCCAGATATGGTGAGGGACACCTTGGTGAGCCAGTACATCTTGCCCCACCAAGGTTAGGAGAACCTTTCTCTTTTTGGCTAGGAGAAAGGTTTTGCATATTTGTTCATTAGAAATCTCACTGGTAGCTTGCTTTGTGCAAAACCAAAAAGAACTAAGTAAGTGATGTGAGTCCTGTTTAGGACTGCTGGCTTTCAAACTAAGCATCATGGAGAAGCCATGGTTCAAATTCATGGAGCTTATTGAATTTCAAATATCTGGACATCAGTAAATGTGTCTTACATGACAGATGAAATGAATTTCTTTTTTCAACAAATGTTGTTTGGCTGTCTGTTACAGCCAGGCATCCGGAACATGTCTCAGAATGCGGTGGGAAACAGGGCAGAGGCTCCTGGTCTCACAGCCCTTGTTTCCTGGAGGGGAGAGGACAGTGGTCAATAAGACCTAAGAAGTTCTGCAGTGAGAGGGGTAAGTGCTGTGAGGAAAATAAAGCAGAGTGTGAGCGTGAATGATGGGAAGAAGACAAGATGTTCACACCTAAGTGAGGAGGTGGGGAGAAGCTTGCTAGATGACTACATGAGACTGCGCAGGAATGTAAAGGGGAGCCCACCACTTGGCGAACTGTGAGAAGAGTTTTCCAGACAGAAGGTGCAGCACAAGCCACAGACACTGGGCCCACTTGGAGCCTGGTGTGTGAGGGACGCCTAGACAGAAGGCCTGTGGGCCCTTCTGCCAGCAAGGTGTGTCTGCAGTCATCAGCTGAGAGCAGCATTGTAACAGGGTGGTCCCAGGAAAAGGGGGAGACTCCAGGTTCCCTGCCCCAACCAGAAGGATGGAGAGCCAGGAGACCTGAGGGAGAAACATGGAGCAGAGAGACGCAAAGAAGCGGCTCCTGTTTCTTGGCCCTGGACTGGGTGAAACAGATGTGGGTGAGAGACCGTGGGGAGGTTTATCTTGATTTTGCTCTTTTCCTCCCAGACTTGTCTGGCCATTTCTGACCCTTTTTTATGGGTCCCTGCCAGAAGGTGCTTCAGACTTGTGACAGGCTTTCAGGCCTTGCTTTGGGCCAATCCCTTTTGGGTCGACTTTTACCCACAAGAGGTGTTTGATTTAGAAACTATATTCTTTATCTTTTTTTGTATTGCACACTAATTGAATTAAAGTTCTTTTCCATTAAAGGTCTTACATGTTTTGTCTTGATGCAGTGGGTAGCAGAACCTATTTAGAGCAAGCAGGTTTGGGGTTCAGTGGTGCTCCTCTCTCCTTGTTCTGTAGCAGCATGAGTGTTTGAAAGAGAGCCAGCCCCTGATCTAGATCAGTCTTCTGAGCCTTAAACACTTGATCTTTGCTTTTTCCGGTCAGTCCTTCACTGTTCCTTGAGCAGCTGCCATGCACCCTGTTCTGCTGACGGTGAGGCTGAAGGTTGAGACCTGCTCCCTCTGTTCTGCTCCAGACTGGGAAGAGCCCCACCACAATGTCCCCTCTCACGTGCTCTCTTCTCGGAGCACCAGCATGGGAGAGATAGTCTGGTGGCCAGCCTTTGGGGCTGATGGCGCTGATAGACCAAGGCACAGAGCATAACCTAACATAGCCTGGTTCTGATCCACATGGGAAGTGCAAGCTAGAAATTTGGAACCAGAACTAGAGTGAAATACCAACCAGTGACTGTGGTTACGTTCTTATGGTGACATGCGAGGAAAACTTTCCTCTAGCTTCTAAAATTACTACAGTGATTTATAATATAAAATAAGAAAGACTTTAGGAAGGCCCTGGGTTCACAAATTATGAGCCTTCTCACTGTGTATAGCTGGGCTTTGTGCATGCGCTCCTCCAGCAGTAATTCTACTTCTTCTAAAATGTATTTGGTAGTTGCTAGGTACAAAACAGTTTTAAAGACTCTATCTACATAGACCGTTTTATTAATTCTTCTCTGAGGTGTAGGTATTGTAGTTTTTTCCATTTTATAAGAGGGGCACATTGAGGCCCAGAGAAGTTAAATAATGTCCATGAGCTCCAAGTGCGAGGCAAGGTTTTGAACCCAGCACTCAGCCATCACTTCATCTTGTGATGAAGCTCCCTCAAGGACCTTTCTGGCTCTGACTTAGAATCCAAACTGCCTAGTTTATGAGTGGAACCCTGGCAGCTACCTTGCTGATGGGCTTGCGGTGGACCTGGGGTGGCAGCAAGCCACTGGCCCTGGTGAAGAGTGGGTTCCCTGGGTGGAAGGAAGTTTGTGTTGCACCTGGTTGGTGGAAGCTGCAGAAAGGAGGCCAGCAGAAGAGTGATCCCAGTGCGCCTCTGGGAAGAAGTTTCCAGACTATGGGGATTTACTATTGTTTCTCAGTTGAACAAGAAGGCACTCAAGACTTCTGGCCAGCGCAGTGTCTGTTGCTCCCCTACCCTGAGAGCGGGGCTCGCACAGGGATGGCTGACTTCATGGTCCAGCCAGGAGCCTGACTGAATCCCTGTAGCCTGTGAGGGGAACCATTTCCTGAAATGTCACAATTTGGCCCATCATTTCTGCTTTGCTTTTTATATATTAATGTATCATATTAAATATAATTATAAAGAATAGATTTATTATATAATTAATTGGATTACTTATGCCATTTTATATGGTAATTATATGTAATTATTACATAGAAAGTATCCTATTTCCCCCCTAAGCCATTTTAAAGTGCAGCTGTTTTGGTATTTTCAGCACTGTCTCCTAAGATTGAAGAAGCTCTCCTTGGGATTGGTTTTGATGTCCTTTATTTTGTACTGATGGGCACAGATTCCCCAGAGGCAGAAAAAATGAGCATGAAGGCTCACGCCTGGGGCTTCCCCCCAGGGCATTCTGGCCCTGCCCTGTTTCCTCAGCCTCTCCTTCCTGCTCCCTCGGCCCCTGGGTGAGACCTGGATGCTTGAGGGAAGGAGACCTCCTCACCTTTGAGGGCCATTTAGTGAGCTGCACCCTTTGGCCCTGACTTCTTTTCATTGTTGGTATTGTGGATTCTGTGACGTGTCAGTGGAGGGCACCTCCTCACAGTTCTCCATGCTCTTTGGTCTCTATGAAGTCTCTGAAAACATCACACTGATTTCACTTTCATGAACATACAGTGCTTGCTTTGCACACCTGGACTGCCTATTCATTTAGAGGAATAAGGTGGATTGACTTGAACACCATTTCCCCCCTCCTCCTCTTCCTGTACCCTCACGGGCAGCTTGGGTCTCTGCCAGAAGTCAGTCACCAGCAATAAGGCAGCGCCTGTGGGCTGTGTCCCGTCTGTTTCTTCTGCACTACTCATGTGGGAAGACATCACCAGACAGGACTTCAGCATTTGTTTGAGAATTTTATGGAAACAGTTGGGGCTTGGGTGGGAGGTCTTTTCCTTTTCTGTTCAGTGGTGTGTGCAGCCTGGAGAGGAGGCCTTCTGAGTGTTGCTGAGTGAGCACCCCACCCTGACGGTGGAGCTGGGAGCACCACAGCCAGCTTTCTCCTGCGAATCCCTCCAGCCACGCAGGCAGCTGCTTTCTAAAGCACACTCTTGACTGCTTAGCACTCTGCCTGGCTTTTCCTTCCTTACAGGCTTCATTCCAAGACCCTACCTCATGTGACCCCTGCTCAACTTATCTCCCTTGTTGCATACTGTAGGAAGGCCTAATCAAATGATGTGGCACTCTGCCACATACGCCCGTACCCCTGAGCGGGTACCGTCTCTGGCCTCCCTGGTCTGCGAGTTCACCCAGCCTTTAACACCTGGCTAGACCATCTCCCAACAGTGAAGCCTCTCCTGGTGGGTGCCCTGCCTCCAGATGGGCTAGTGCCCTTTTCAGAGCATTTGCCACACGGCCTGGTGATGAGTCTGCTCTCCTACCTTAGTCTCCTCTATGCCGGAGTTGGAGTCATAGACACTCGCTGAATGTTGGGGTAGAAGGATGGGTTTGTAGTTGGGTGGAACATGTCCTGAATTACAAGTAGCTACATTGCACTTTGTGCCTTCAAGTTCCTCTCTGGGAGAGCCCTGTCACAAAGAAAAAAAAAATCCACATTTTTCCATACATGTGAGAAATCATTCTTCCCCGATATCCGGTTCTGAAAGTGCTGGTTAGCAGCAATGCAGGCTTCTGTGACCCTCACAGCTTACTGCATACATTGTCAGAACAGGTACTTTGACTTAGTAAAGACTGAATGTTCTGATAACCCAGCTGTTTATATGCATTTTGCCTTGTTATACTGAGGAAAACTACTGAATATCTTTCTTTTCTTTCAGTTAAACGTTTCAGAGAACCAAAGCATGAAAGAAGGCCATGGAGGATATGGTGTGTATTCAAACAGTAACTTGTTCCTAGAGTGTTTTTGATTTTTGGGAGGCGGGCTAAGGGAGGGGGCTAGTGGGTGGAATGTGAGCCATTATACTTAAAGTGTAGGAATCCCTGAGCTAATTAATTAGAATTAATCATCAGGAGAAATGTGCACTATGAAGGCACTTCTGTTTCTCCCATTAACTTTTGAACTCTGCCTTTATTTTATCATCATTCTACTGTCCAATTATGGAAGATTGATGATAAAAACACATCCGTCTGTGCTCTGGACTTCTTCAGTTATGTCTCTTTGTTGTCTGATTATGTTAAATTCCTGGATTCTGCAGTCTATATGTGTAAGCAAATAAACCTAACTTTGGAAACATACCATGTAAATGCTCCTGTCCCCAAAACGAGTCTTTTTGGGTCCTGACCTGTGGTGGCAGTTTTTCCTTCCTAAAAATGGTAACTCTATGCTTGGGAAGTAATTCCAAAGATCAGTCACTTTGCAGAAGATAGTCAGATCCTCAGGACAACATGATGTCCACAGAAGCATCTTTTGGGGGCAGCCTCAGACTTGCAGCTGCCCTAACAAAATAGCCATGTCCCTTCCAGAAAAGATGTCCAGTAAGTCACTGTGATAAAATTCTCCTTATAAAACATCGAGCATATACTTGATTGAGCTTCACTGTGTTAATTGAATTTCCCCGCCAACTGGCTCTTTTCGAATTCAGCTGGGGCTGAGGCACCTGATAAGGACCTGACGTGGGGCTCTTTGTGTTTTACACACGTTGCACTTTGGTGACTCCTGCTTTGCCATGATTGTAGGAACTGATTTTTCAGCCTTGCTCGCAGGGTTGGTCTGGGTTGTCTCTTAAGGGTCCTGAACCCCATGAGGGTCCACACCCCTTCATCACCCCACCAGTGTCCACATCAACTCTGGATTCCCAGTCTTGGAGGTCAGGTGACATAGCCACAATCTAAAAGTTCACACACAAACCTTAAGTGGTCTCCAGGTGTTGGTGGCACTTACTCCAGGTATTGCTTTTTTTTTTTTAAAAGATTTATTTATTTATGCATACAGAACTGAGGTACAGGCCAGAGGTGCAGGGGTGGTGAGAGGATTCACCAGAGACAGAGTGGGGAGCAGAACAGGCTGACTGATAAAGTACATTGCTGAGGGGAACAGTGGGCGGGTCAAGAGAGGTCTGCCATGCCATGTGAATCATCTCCAGGGCGGGGATTGAACTCATGCTGAAGTGGCTTTAGCTTCTTAGTGCTATGCTTTATTTAACCTGCTACGCCACCAGGGAGTGTCCCAGGTATTGCTTTTTTATTATCCATGTCATCTGATTTGGGGTTGGCAAACTATAACCATAGGCCTGATTTGGCTTGCTATCTGTTTTTATAACTAAAGTGCTCTGGAGACAATGGCAGCAACAGAGAACAATGGGTCCACAAAACCTAAAGTGTTTACTCTCTAGCCCTTCACAGATGAGTTTCTCCACTCCTTGTCTAGCCTGTTGTTTAAATGTCAGCACCTGAAAGCTGTAGTGATAGATTTGTACACCTCTTGTTAATCTTGCACATGATTCAGCTCATTATGAGCAAAATCCAATAGGAGCTCTTTAAAATAGAGGGACTAGACCTCATCACAAAGCATTTTACTTTTTGTTTTAAAGATTTATTTTCATTTATTTATGTATACAAGAACCAGGTTGTAGGTCAGTGGTGGTGGGTCAGTTGTGGGGGGGCAGGGGTCAGGGGGAGTCAATGAGGATTCACCAGAGACAGAACAGGGAGCAAAAGAGGCAAATATACTGGGATACACTGCTAAGGGGAGCAGCAGGCTAGACAGAGGTCGACTGCGCCATGTGGGTCATCTCCCTGGCTGGGGATCAAACTTGTGCTGCAGTGGCCGGTGATAGCTTGGTAGCACTGACTTAAATCCCTGTGTCCTCGAGCATTTCATTTTGAATTAATCGTAAAAGTAAAAAGATTTAAAACATGCTATTAATTAGTGACCTTTAGGGATTCCTGGTGTAATGTCAGTGAAGGTTTTGAAAGGTTTAGCTGGAACACCAAGCCTGAGACCACACTTGACTGCCCAGGAAGGGGTGATTGACAACTGGAAGTTGGGGTCTCCCAGGGGCTTTTCTCCTGTTTCAGGCTTACCATTTTCCCCAAATTGGATATTGGATATTCTGTCAGGGTGATGACAAAGTGCTGATTCTACTTTGTACAGGTTTTTAGATACTTCCAAACAAGCCATAGGAATGCTGTTCATTCACTTTGCAAACGTATACCTGGCAGATCTCACGGAAGAGGACCCTTGTTCACTGTAAGTGGCCCGTATTGGAGTACAAACATCACCTGTTCCTCTGTTGAAACTGTCTGCTGACCTTGTCTTCTGCCAGCTCACAGGGCTTTTCTGGATGGCAGTTGCCCTGAACTCTGGCTTTACTGATCAATCCAAGTGTTGTCCTTTGACTTTCTGGAACTTATATGTTTCCCAGTTTCTAAAATAGCCCCTGGCAGGGCAGGGTGTGCCCTGGAGTAATGTCTCTGTGCTGGGACAGAGCACATGGAGGTTCTCAATGATACCAGCCGTGGGTCACAGCTGTGTCTGACTGTCATTTCACACAGCCCCCAGAACAGTCTGCTTGGAACCTCGTTTGGGCCAGGATACACTGTCTTCTTTGCAGCTAGCGTTTGAAGTGCCTCTTTTAGAAAATGGAGTGGCTCCATTCCTTACTTTCCTGCCTCAAACTAGGCACTTCAGCCATGCCTACTGCGCCACTCAGCCCTGCCAAGTGTCTACTGCCTCTGTGCCATGCTCACACTGTTCTCTGCCTGGAGTGACTGTGCCCTGCCATGCCCCACCTCTGAGGCAGAGCAAGACAGAAGACTGGGGAATCCCTTGTTAAGAGGCATAATCTATATTTAAGATTATTTGAACTAGAAGGTTCCTTTAAGCTTCTCTTTTGTTTGACATGTGTGCAGGTTTGAGATTTAGTTCAGGTGCAGTTTAAGAAGGGAGTTGTGATGTCACCCCCATAGTCTTTCCTTAAGCCCCTAGGATGTGGTCTGTTTGGACATTTGGGTATAGTTCCAAAGCGGGGGACTAGAAAGGTGGTGTCCTTTGAGGGAGATAGTTAGGAAAATGTCTTGTCCTTACAAACCTCGAGTCCAGCAGGAAGCTTACATTATCTTCTGGTGAAGCATTTCGATATTGGCTAAGATAGATGGGAGAGCCAGCTCCTCAACCTGGAGGCAGTGCAGTGAGGAAACGTAACTGCTGGTGCAGCCTGGCCACGTGGCAGTCCCGTGCCATACCTGCACTGCAAAAAGAAGACAGTTCAAAGCAGAACACAGCCAGGATGGGGAGGATCCTAGTGCTCAGCCTGGAAGAGAAACGCCCCAAGTTGGAGCTTGGTGTAGTGAACAGAGCACTGACCAAGAGGCCGGGCTGTGGGACGTGAGCTTACTTTAACTTCTTTAGGTCTGTTTCCCCAACCCTGCGTGTCCTACCAGATTCCCACATTACTGAGAAGGTTTCATGAGATGACGAGTCTAAGTACCATCTGGAAACCATGGTGCACTTACCAATAAAGATTTAGCACAGTGGAGGATATTGTTGCTAAAGCTTAGAAAGATGTGAGCGCTCAGCAGTGAACTGAGATGTGCCAACTGGGAGTGGCCTCATGCCATAGTAGAGAGGTCCCTGGACCTTTTACTCATGGGGGAAAGGGAATGGGCTGGACCTCGAGCTTCACGGGAGTCTGCAGACCTAGCTCAGGAAGAGGAGAAACTTGAAAACGGGAAACATACTGCTTCCTAGGGCTGCAAGGCCCCCCTGTGCTGCTTTGGGTAGGAGTCACCATTTCATGATGTCCAGGGCTTTGCGACTCTGATTCTAAATGACATACTTGCATCGTGCTCACTAGGTGGCAGACACCGCTTCCAGACGCTGAAATAAAGAAATTTACCTGTCTTGGTCATTTGTTCCTCACAGCAGTCCTGCAGTATAAATACTTTATCATTTTACAACTGGGGGACTGAGGGACAGAGAGATCTCATATAACGTAATCAAGTCCCTGCAGCTCAGGAGTGACATTGCTGGGATTTGAAGCCAGCCTCAGCCTCCAGGGCCCTCTGACACTGCTCTCTGCCCATCTTACCTGTGCTGGCTACAGAACATAGAGCTCTCTCTTTATTCTCAATATCAGAGGCAAAGTTGGCTCACATATTTGGCGAGTGAATGAACTAACAAATGTTTGTGCATCAGGTGATCTTGTTATTTTCATAATGGGTCTCAGACATCAGAACCACTGAAACCACTTGACTTAAGAGCAGCTTAGCCTAAGGCCAGCGCCCATGGGCTAACTTGGAGAGTTCCTGTTCTTCCATCTCTGGTCTGAGGGTGACCCCTTGTGATCTTAAAGAGGAAGAGCAGGCAGGAGCAAACACTGCCCCTCCCTCTGGTTTTCTGGCTGCTTTTGGGCATTGGCAGAGCCAAGATCACAGCAGAGCAGTGCGGGCTCCTGTGGCGTCAGAGTCCGTGAAATTAGGAAGTTTATGTGGGTCTCTCTGAGCTATGTGGCATCAGAGGACTTGGGCCTGCTTGTCTCATGCTTGTCTGGAGAGCTGTGGTCAGTGGTGCCGCTGAGGTCTGGGCCTTTGGGGGAGGACCAGTGAGCAAGGGCCTGTTCTTGGGGAGGAAGAGATGGTGTGTCAGCAGATGGAAATAGACTTTATAGAAACCCGTGGTCAGTATGGGCATGGTCTCCTGACCTTTCTCTCCCTCCTCCGTATCTTGCCTTTTCCATGGGGAGCAAATAAGTTTAAAGAAAAGTACGTGTCCCTTTAGAAAATACTTTTCTTCAGAAGTATGTATTGCATGAGTTGTGGTGAGCCTCATGGCCCTGCCCTCCTTGGACTAAGAAGCCCAGAGGCCACTTCCCAGACCACCCTAATGCAGTAGTGTTGTTGGGGGTGAACAGCATCTCAGCAGCCTTTTTTCTTACCAGTTAAGTTCTGTTTTCCTGTTGCCCTCCTTCGCTGCTTCTAGGCTCTGCCTAGTGTCAAAACTCTGTTTGAGTCCTTTTAGTATCTTGGTCACTCTCCCCCCCCCCCCCAGCTCTTCCACCCTGGATTAGTGTCTATCCTGTCGTGGGAGAGCGCTGCTGGGGTGCCTGGAAGTAAGCACTTGCACGGGCATTTTGGCCCCCAGAACGAGGCCAAAGTGCTGGGTCATCAGTCTTGACCTTGGCCCTGGTAGGATACAGAGCCCAGCTCGGTGGCTCATCCCCCCGAGGTTCTTCCTGATAGTGTCACTGTGCCCTCCCTTTGCAGGTACCTCATCAATTTCCTCTTGGATGCTACTGTGGGCATGCTGCTCATCTACGTGGGCGTGCGTGCTGTCAGCGTCCTGGTGGAGTGGCAGCAGTGGGAGTCTCTGCGTTTTGGCGAATATGGTAACATACCCATGGCCACTGGGTGGGGATGTGGAAGGAACTTCCCGGGTGTAGGGGCTCTGTTACTTGCCTAGGCAGCCCTCCAGGGGATGGATCAAAAGGTCCGGGAGCTGGCAGCTGTCTCCTCTGTGGTGCAGAGGCTCTTTCTGGGGTGTGAGCACATCCTTCCTGCCGGTGTCAAGCGTGCTAGACTTCTGAGCCAGACATTGTCCACTTCCCAGAGGCAGTTCTCACCTTTGTGGCAGGAGACACCCCAAACAGGGAATAAGCATAACGTCTGCTTCTGTCAGAGGGTACTAGTGAATCTGCCTGTGGATTCAGAAGGCCTCCTTGCGCGGCTGAGCTTCCCACCAAGCTTACATCATTCCTATACGTTGGAAAGATGGGGGGTCCTTTTTAGGGAGGTGGCACACCTGCCCCTCTTTTGTCTGCCTGCCTGTGCACGCCCTATCGTAATGGCCTTCCCATGCTGGGGCTCACAAGGCAGGTTCAGGGGCTGACCCTCCTCCCCACAGCTGGCATGTCACAGTCACTGGGGACACCGGGGTCAGCCTCACTCGCAGAGATACAGCTTAAAACAGGTGCCCTGTTGTTGCTGGCCCTGTCATCACCACTTCGTCTCTCCAGGCCTCGTGGGATACAAGTCAGGCTGACTCTGAGCACAAGTGCAGTGCTTTTACTCTGTGCCTCCAGAGAAGTGGCTGCGTGTGGCCTCAGCAGGGCCTCTGGTGAGAGTGCTTTCAGGCCTTGCCACCTTTTGGAGATTCAGAGCACAGGACAGTGTGAAGCCACTTCCCCACTGCCTTCACAACTGGCCCCTGCTGTCCAGAGGCAGCAGCTCTGCTCCTTAGTGGAAATAGTAGCAATGGAGCCTTTGCCATGACAGGGGCACATGATCCAAGAGGGAGGGAATAGAATGCAAGTGGCTGGATCCCCACTTTCCTTACTGGTCACGTCTCCCAAAGAACTCATGGGTCTGGGCCTGAAGGCCACTCTCTCCTACATGGCTGAAGATCACAGAGACTGACATTTAAAAGGGGAGCTGACATGTGGGGCCAGCTGTTAGTGCCTGAGGTATTTCCAGAAATCTTAAGTAATTGTTTATCTCCTTTGAGGGGAGATGAGCTCAGGGGAGGTCTTTTCTTAGCCCCTTTAGTTGATGCCGGGTGAGTCACTGGCTTAAGATAGTGTCCAGCCCATGACATGTGCTCCTGTGACTCCAGGGGAAGCTTCTGAGAAGCTTCGAGTCATCTATTCCTCAGCTTGGAGGACACAGAGGCATCATCCTCAATTATAGGATTCTAGAGGGGCTTAAGTAACACACAAAGTTCACCCAGCCCCTGCACAGGTTCAGGGGGGTTATGCCTGCTGCCTGCTACTGAGGGTTACCTAGTCCTACCCCTGCCAGGAATGGTGCTCACAACTACTACTTTGTTGTTAAGCGCCCCCCTGGAAAGCAAGACTTGAATCCATAGCTATCCAGTCCATGGGGGGGATGGGGTGCGGACGGGGGGTATCCATCAACAGCCAATACATGCCACGGGGTCTTCTGGGAGTGGAGATCAGATCTATCCTGACTCGTCCAGCCTCATAGTACACCTGTTCCCAGCATGTTTTGTCTGCATCCCCAAAAGATTGATGGAAGAAGGCAGCAGTTGTTTGAGCCATTTGCTTATGTGCCAGCCTCTCCTGTCCACTTGAGCTGTCTCTGCCCTGTCCCCTTAACACTGGCTTTGGCAACTAGAATCTTCAAGCTGGGGTGTCTCTGGGAGAAACTGTCCTTTCTCAAGGACCCTCCCAGGAAGTACAGTGTGTGTCCTCAGTTACCTGTTCTTTGTATCTGTTTCTTTTATTTCCTACTGCTGCTCTAATCAATTCCCATAAAACTAGTGGCTTAAAACAACACAAGCAATTTTAAGCTTAACGTTATTCAGTACAGACATCTAGTCGTGTCTCAGGGACTAAAATCAAGGTGTCAGCAGGACTGGTTCCTTCTGGAATCTCTAGGGGAGAATTGGTTTCCTTGCCTTTTCTAGTTTCTAGAGGCCTCCTGCATACCTTGGCTTGTGCCAAGCAATAGCAGGTTGTGTTCCTGACATAATCCTTGCCTTCGCCACTTTCCATGAAGAGTCCTTGTGAGTACCGCAGGTCCACCTGGGTCTTCCAGGTAACCCTCCTATCTAATCCTGTAATTGAGCTTGATTGCCAGCTTCGATTCTATTTGCAGCTAAATTTCCCCCTCCCATCTTACCTAACATACAGGTTTCAGGGATTAGGGTGTGAATGTCTCCATAGAGCCCTTCCATTTGAGGCAATAATTGCATGTTGATCCCATAGTTCTCTTATCAGGTAAATGAAGAAAAGGGGTTGCTGCTTCCTTTGTCCCTAGAAGAGAAAGTGAAGTTGCTAGCAAGAACATGGGACTTGGGGGAATGAACCACCACCTCTGAGGGGTGAGACAAGATCCAGGGTATTATGGGATTTCTCTATGTGATCACCAGGTGGTTCTGACCCTGGCTGAGGCCCTGGAAACAGGGTCTCTTCCACAGGCACCAGTGGTTTGTGGGCTCTGCTGCCCATCCCTGTCCTTGCCTTCCCTCCCAGAAGGCCCACGGTAGCCCCATCCCTGCATTTATCCTAAGGAAATAATTCAACAAACAGAAGGCCTCCCTATCTGAGGGTGCCCACTGTGGACACAACTGGCATGTCTGTCTTTGACAGATGATAGGGCATCTGGGGGTCCGAGGCACTAGGAAGACTGTCCAGCGAGGTCTGGAAAGCAAACTGGCGCATGTGCACTCACACCGGCTTTGCGCCGTGGGGTCCAGGTCGCCGTGGGGGACGACGTGGGAGTATACGTGAGCTCTTACATTGTGTTTTTTAGATTTATTCAGGCATTTAAAAGAAAAAAGAGGTAGTTGCACCTAAATAATGGAGTGAAAACTCAGAGCAGCGTGGGGCAGCACCCGGCAGCAGCAGTCACTTAGACCCTGAGAGCAGATGGGGTGAGCACACTCTGAGCAAGGAGATTTTCTTTTGATAATAAACGAGTGTTGCCACGTGTTCTGCTCACTATCAAACATGCCTTCCCGATTCCGTGGTATTTCCTACTAGCACTTTCTAGCTGACTGCCCCTAATCTTAATAGCTTTTAACAAATATTTCGACCCGTTGTTTTTGAGAGCTTTACTCAATAAGGCCAGTCAGTTTATAAAACTCCATTTAAAATCTAACTAGGAGTTTGTGCTTCTGAAGTGTGTTTTGGCTCAAATGTGTCTTTATCGCAGAAGTGAAAGTAGATAGGATAACCTCAGAAGACGCAGGGAAGGCTTTCTTCACACTTCTGCCGAGGTTTTCCAGAAAAGGGAATAAGGGCCCAGTGCTATGTCCATTCCAGCTGCATCAAGGCATTCACTTGTGCCTGCACTTCCACTGTGTACCGGCAGGCTTGGGCAGGCCAGGGGCCTCCAGCACTGATGCCTGGGCAGGGGTTGCTATGGAAACAGAATCAAATGAAAAGCCGGAAAGTTCTCTTTGGGCCACCTTCTCTTCTCAGCCGCACTGGGGCCTTTGCCTCCCCCGAAATGTTACTCTCCACCCTCCTCGCCCTCTGGTGAGGCCGCTCCAGCAGAGCTCTGAGAGTAGGCTCCTGGTTGCCAGCCCCCCTTCTCTCCCTCCATCTCCTACTTTGGGGAGGCACATAGCTCCCCAAGGGCCACCCTGTGAATTCTGCCTGTCTCTGAGGAGGCGCATGGTTCCCGCAGGGCTGGCCCTCTCCTGTCACCCAGTCCCCTCCAGGACCCGTGTGTCCCCCAGTGTGAGCTGTTGGATCCTCTAACTAATCAGCATAGTGACGGGTGGGATCACACGTGCACCTTTGTCACAGCTCATCCTTCCCACCTCCTCACCTTGAGGGCTTCTCTCATTTCCTCCTTGTCTCCAACCCAAGGTGTTAGGAGTGCCCCACAGAGACCACTGGGATTTCTCCAGAGTTAGATTTCTTTTTTTCAGGGCTGAGGCTACAAAAATGGCTGGGGGAGTGAGGAGGATGAGGGTGAGAAATCAAAGACGTTTGCGGTCTTTATAGTTCGAAAACATCAGCTGGCTTACTGATGGAAGGAAGGATGGATAGTACCATAGTAACTGGAAAAATCAACAATGGATAATAATAGCAGTCTTGCTTAACACAGCTTTGCTGCCAGCAGACGAAAAGAACCAGCCTTCTCAGCACCGGCAGTGGGCTCTTACTAAATGTAGTGCTTTTTAATTATATCTTAGAATCTCTTAAAAGAAAATACATGCTGGTATCTCCAAATTAGGACTTTGTAGCTTTGTTTAAAACACCCAAATCTGCCTGTTGGAGCTGAGGTGATTTGTCATTTTGGGGGGGCTTATCAAATAGCTCTGAAGCCAAGGTTCTGGGGTAGAGTGGGGTGGAGATGAGAGCTCGTAGGAGTGAGGGCGCCACACAGTTCGCACCTTGTCATTCGGCCCTGTGACTAAGTGCCCACCTCTCCCTGCAGGAGACCCTCTGCAGTGCGGAGCCTGGGTTGGGCAGTGCGCTCTTTACATCGTGATCATGATCTTTGAAAAATCTGTCGTCTTCATTGTTCTCCTAATACTTCAGTGGAAAAAGGTTTGCTTCTTGTCAATTTGTTAGTAGCTCCTTGCAAAGCTAAGCCAAATAGTCCTTTTCTCCCCTGGCCCCTCCACCCCAGTCCTCCATGAATGTACCCTGGATTCTGTCCAGCAGCAGTAATTTATCACTTTTTTACTTAGCGTCCATCCACTTCAGTGATACAAACAATCTGCTCTAGATTAAACCTGGGTCGTATAAAGCTAGTGAAAATACAGCCCATGTCCTCAAGTTGCTCACTATCTGATATTAGTCCTCAGGAAGGTGTTCTCCATTCGTCTCCCTCACGTTACCTCTCTGGGCAAAGGTTTAAGCGAGCCTCTCAGTGCCCAGTCTGACCACCAACATGCAGGTCGCAAGCTGTTCCCATGGTCACTCGCCCAGGTGCTGTCCTTCTGAGCCTCCACTGCCTGTTTCCTCCATGCCCACGTGGAAGCCGCCCAAGAGCCTTGGGAAATAAGTAGCACAGATCTTGGCCTCCCTTGAGTTTTGATACGCCTGGGATCCATGCTTTAGGTAAATCAACCAAGGCTTTCTGGTGCTGTTATCTGTCAGGAAGCAGTTAGCGGGCAGGGTTTCCATTAGAAGGGGGTCTGGCACCTCCTTGCTAGTATCTGTAATAATCATCTACTGACTTCACGTCCTCTGGCTCCCTGAAGCCCATGCTTCACCCTGTGCTTCCCAGGGCAATGGAAGGGAGGGCCATGCTCCCCTGCCACGTTCAGGGGAAAGTTACAGCAATAAGTGCTGCAGTGTTCTCCCAGGGGGTCCCTCAGCAGTCAAATCTGGGGTCTGTGCAGCTGATTGCCACTGCACCTTCAGCCACCCCTGTACTTTCTCTGTGGTCTTGCCCACCTCACTAGGTCTGCTTCTCTTTACAGGTGGCCCTATTGAATCCCATTGAAAACCCAGACCTGAAACTGGCCATCGTCATGCTGATCGTCCCCTTTTTTGTCAACGTCAGTGTCATGTTGCATTTCCTACCCCAGCTTACTGCCTGCCTTCTGGTGTTCTGTCAACGTTTTGAGTCTGACAGAGAAAACATCCCTTATAGCCCATGGGTCCCTCTGAGTGAGCTTTTACTGCTCCTCAGCCCACCACAGGCCTGGAAATGGCAGGTGGCTTCCGACTCAGGCAGATCCCTGCCCGAGGGCTCTGGGCCTCTGCTGGGGCCTCCTGCTGAGCGCTCCAGCTGCGTGTGTAAGCATGCAGGACCTAGGTCAGGATCATTGGGAATTACTCCAGTTGTTTATTCCTGGTTATAGAACTCCAAGAGAAACTGAGGAGGATCTTGGGGTGACAGACATGGCAGAGTGTGCCCGCTAATCTCATGAGGGAAGCCTAGACCAGGAGCAGACACCTGGGCTCCAGGCCCCACTCTGCCTCTGGGAGATAGCAGGGGGGCTAGGTGAGGTTTTTCTTTCCCTAGTTCTGGGTGATGGGTGGGGGTTGCTCTGCTCTGCCCTCACAAATGGCTTATCCCAGAATAACCTGCTCTTCTCCTTCCCACAGGCTTTGATGTTTTGGGTCGTGGACAATTTCCTCATGAGAAAAGGGAGGACGAAAGCTAAGCTAGAAGAAAGAGGAGCCAACCAGGACTCAAGGAATGGGAGCAAGGTCCGCTATAGAAGGGCCGCATCTCATGAGGAGTCAGAGTCTGAGGTAAGACTGCCTTGACTGAGCGCGGAACCTCAGGCCACCCTCCTGTGCAGACTTTGATTTCACGCAGTGTCATCCAGCGGGGAGGAAACCGACAGCTGCCATCTGGCCAGGACCCATTCCTGCTGTCCCACAGTCCTCCCTAGGGTGGGGATGTGGGGCATCTGGTGGATGTAGCCTGCCTTTAACAGCCTCATCAGCGGGAAAAGACAGGAAAGGGAGGAGCTGCCTTGTTCCAGGGAACCTGGCAAGGATCCTCGTGGACCAGATAACTGACCTTTAAGCGTTAAGGTGTTTGAATCTTTGCCCACCACTACCAAGAAATGGAAGTATTTTGGCTAAGCCAGCTGGAAACTCGAGTTGTAGGGATAGTCAGACGTCTCAGGAGAGCCTCGCCTCCCCTTATTGTCAAGTTTCCTAAGTTGAAAGGCTTGGTGGTCATAGAGATTGGTGGTCACAAACGAAGCACAGAGACAAGGCTGTGCATCTGGGACAGCCGCACCCCGCATTTTCTGTACTTTGGAGGGAGCCGGCCTTGTCTCCTGAGTATTCAGCCCCATGGGGTGCTGAGCTCTGCACACAGCAGGGGATACTGAAGTGGCCGAGGTGATGTCTTCCCTAAGAAGCCTGCAGACTTGTGAGTGAGGGGTAGGTGAAGCCGCAGCGGCTCATCATCACATTCTGAGATACGTTTTGATGCACTAACAATCCCCTGGGGCAGTCTGTTTTAACTCCTGGAGGCATCCTGGAAGGAGTTTGGAGAGCTGACCAGGTGAGCTGCAACATAGGTAAGACCATGTCTGGCACAGGGCCTTCGAGTGAGAGCTCGTGCCCGTCGGATGAGTGCAGGCAGTGCTGCTCCAGAGCAGAAGTAACTGCTCCAGAGCAGCGATGGTCTGGTATCTGCATTATTATGTGAGATCCATGATGGTCAGAGCTGCATTTACCCTGCAGGATAGGAAGGAGTGACAAAAAATGAGGTACCAGTAACGGGCTTTGTGATCCAGGCTAAGGAACAGGGCCGTCCCTGTGTGGGCAGTAGGAGGCCAGAGTGTCTGAACCTGCAGCTCTGCAGGAGAGTGGCAGGGAGACGTTGTTACCGCTCTGCCCCTGGAGAGGAATGAGACCCCGCTCCCCTCCCTGGTACGCTTCAGACCCCTCCTTCCCGGCTCGGGTGTCCTAGTCCTTGCCTGTACTCAGGTCTGGGAAGCCAGGCGTGTTGTGCGGCAGGAGGGCACGAAGGATGCTTGCTGTGGATGCCCCTGCCGCAGGGTTGAGTGGCTCCAGGGGACTCAGGGAAGCATGGGCCTGCTGTTTGTCCTCAGAGGTTACACAGTGGGTCTAGGGCAGTTGCTCTGAAATCCCCTAGCCTTTCGTGTGCTGCATAGCTGCTTTCCTCTTGAAAGAAACTTTGCAGTTTTCTTTTATGTTATTCAAAGCAACCTCAGAGGCCTCCATGTGTCAAGATTGGGTGTTTGGCTGGGTGACCTCAGGCTGCAGATGCTGCTGAGTTTGCTGACAGGTTCAGCCACAGCTGGAGAGAGGGTGGAGAAGAGGGGAGCACTTGGGAACCAGCTCAGCCCTGGTTTCAGTAGCCCGCAAATGGAACTTAATGTCACAGAGGTCTAGGGTGGCCCAGCTCATCTCATGCTATCTAGGGGGGCTCCCTCCCGACAGCCTGCTCCTAAAGAAAAGTGGGACTTGAGCCCTGCTAAAGGGACTGGCCGCGGATATCAGTGTCCAGGGAAGGCTAATGAGAGAGCACCACAGGTGGTGACGCCAGGCCTCATGTGTCCGCCACCCCAGATCCTGATCTCAGCCGACGATGAGATGGAGGAGTCCGACGTGGAGGAGGACCTCCGGAGGCTGACCCCGCTGAAGCCTGCGAAGAAGAAGAAGCACCGCTTCGGACTGCCCGTATGACAGCCCGCGCGGGGGCAGGGGCGGCACCCAGCCAGCTGCCGGGTCCGCAGGGGCCGCTCTGCCGTCGTCCCTTCCTCCTCTCTCTGCCCCCTCTTCTACCTCCACCCCTCTTGCTGTCTCTGCCCACTCCCAGACTACTGTGACTCGAGAGAGGGCTGACGAGCAGCGCCGAGGGGTCGTGGCAGCCGGCGGTCCCCACTCAGTTGCACTACAAACACTGACCAAATATGCAAGTGAGGCGTTTTGTTTGTTTGTTGTTGTCCCGGACTGTGCTGTGAGGGACGCAGAGCTCCGCCCTGTGTCTGGCAGGGTGACGTTGAGGAAGAGGACACACGCACACCAGAACAGGGGAGCCTTCCCCCGGGCTCGGGAGTGCGAGACGTAGCATGTTTGGAGCTAAAAGTCACTCATTGACCAACTTGGAACCGCAATGCTTTCTTACTCAAATGGCTTTTGTAACTATTGATTTCTAAAGCCGGTTTTATGAGCTGTCACAGTGTTAATGTTTTTTGAGTATGTGTTTATTTCCTATGGGACTAATGGGCAAAACATAGATTTTTAAGTCTTCCGTATGCTGTTGACTTTTATATTTTTAAGTTATATTTTCATACTATTGTATTTAAAAACTTTTTAATCCCCAAAGAAATGGGTTTGTTTGCCTTTAATGGGATGCAAACTGGTGGGAGGAGAAAGTTGGAAGTTTTTTATTTGGAATATTGTTAGGTAATGTCCCGCAATAAGATGAGGTAAATGATCCTGTTAGGAGGGGCCTTATCGGAAATCAGCAAACCAGCGGCTCTGTCAAGGTCGGACCTGAGCACGAGGGGGCTGGTCTGAGCGTGGACCCAGCCCGGGGACCTGGGCCAGAAGAGGCTCTGCCCAGGGTCCACAGGCTCCTGGGCATGTCTGCTCCTGGGCGAGAGGTCTTCCTAGCTGTGGCCAAGAGAGGAGCCTCAGGGTCTCTGTGTCCAGGGAAACTGAGATTCTGAGCACAGTCCTGCTTGTTCCCTCTCTGTCTTTGGAGTGTCCAAGTCTGAAACGTGACGTGCAGTGTCAGCCTCCTAGCCGGCCTCTGGCCACTGCCTCTCAGGCACCCCCGTGCCTGTCTAGCCTTGTTTGCACAGCAGGCTAGAGAGCACCTGCCTGACCGAGCGATCCAATTTTCACACCCACACAGCAGTGGGGTAATGGGGTGAGGTGGGAGGAGCTGAGAGAGCACGTTCTCTGTGTCCACTGGCAGGACTAGGTGCTGCTAAGCTTGGGCCCCCTCCTTGGACAGTAGCCCCACTTGTCAGCATGGACATGGGTCCCTGCTTGGGGAATCTGCCGACTGACAGTGGAAGGAGCTGACCTGAGTACCTGCCTGACTGTGCAAGCAGCAGGGCAGGCAGCTCAGTGTTCTGTCTCATCACAGAGGCAGCATAAGGTTTAGGAACTGGCACTGCTCCTCGAAGTGTGAGCTGGAAGTGAGGCAGGTCCAGGGAGGCCACCCCTCCCAGAACCTTTTCAGGTCTGAGTAAAAATGTGTTTCACTGAGGCACATGGGGTGACCGGTGGTGTGTGAGCCCAGCTATCATCCCAAGCACCCTGGGCCTGTCCTCTGCCTCTCACAGTCCCACCTCCTAGGACATGAGGAGACCTCAGCCTGCTTCCTCCAGGAGTCTAGAAGCCAGAGAAGTGAGAAGAGCCAGGACCTTAGCTGCAGGGGGAAGTGACTCTGCTCGTGCGGGTGTCTGTGGTAGCTGAAGCCAGGCTTCGTGTGAACTCGAGTCCATCACCACTGCAATATCCCTGTGCTCTCATTTGACTCTCTTCGGTCCCCTCCCATCTGCTGTGCTAGTGGGTGTCTCCCCACTGGAAAATCTGAGTGACTGGAGCCAGGCCATAGGGCAGACCAGAGCTGCTGTTCCGGTAGACGTCAGCCCTTCGTGCCACTGCTCACGCTCCCTTTTTACCCCTCATGTTTCATTTGGTTTGAATAACCTGTACTCATAGCTATTCCCACACCTCCCTGAGCTCAGAATTAGAACTTCACTTTTAGTCTTGAGCTCCTGATGTTTCAGACATGGAGTTGGGGAGCCACAATCTGTGAACGATGGAAAGTATGTTATATAGACCTCAGATGACCTGCCGGTACGAGGCTCATCCCAGCTGCTATGGGCAGTGAAGTATTGGAGACGGAGGTGACCAGTGAATCCCTGTATGCTAGTTTCCAATAAGGGCTTTAAGCTTCTAAAGGACAGTGTGTGGTGGATTAACCAGGGCATGTTGTCTAGTAGGTACTGATCATAGAGGGCTTCGTGGTGTGCAGGTGTGGACAGCGTGGGCTCACATGGCTGACCACGTGTGTCTGTGTGTGTCCGTCCATGTGTGTCTGCCCATGTCCTCTTGCTCTCACACACAGTTTGTGACCCTGGTTGGCTTGCTGCAATCACTTGGGGCTTTTCTGCTGCGCCGTGGCCTGTCAGAGAACAGATGTAGAGGGCTGTGGTCAGGATTTCCTCCTGAGCTGTCCTCCCTCCTGGGGATGAGTCTCCTCACCACCTGCTCCAAGGTGCCTTACGAGGTACAGCTCTTCACCTGGCCACGTGGGAAGCATCACTGTGCTTGAGAATTGGTGGGACACCGAGCTGATATTGTACACTGTTGATCTGCTTTGTCCAAATCTAGATGTTGGTGGAAATTTGTAAGTCAGAGTTGTGAGCAAGTTTCTAATAACTAATGGGAATAAACCGATGGGGTAGAGCTATAGTATCTGAATGGGGGAGATCACTGTTGCCCTAATTTCCTTTTACTCCCACTGGGATGTTGAGGATGGCAAGGAGGAATGTTGGTGAGGTGGCAGTGACCTGCAAGCTGAAGGCCTGTGACCCGTCAGTTAGCCCTCACCACACTGCTGGCCTCAAGCACTAACCTGTGCCCCTCCGTGGCAACAGGGTGGCGTGGGTTAATGATGACCCGTCCTGCCTCTAAAGGGAAAGTTTATAAAGGCACTAGTGCAAGTTGTAACTCCTCTTCGGCACTGTGGACCTGTGGACTGCAGCCCACAGTCTCATATGAAGGCGCCCCCGGGGCCTGGGGGGACCCCACTCTGCCCTCCAGATGAAGGTCCCTGGCCTTTCTGTGGCCAGGTCAGGATGTGTGGCGTTGTGCTCGTGAGGGGCTTCTGCCTCACTTAATAGCAGCGCCTTGAGCTCCTGGGGGAGCGGGTGGATTGGTTTGATTTGATTTCTCTGTTCTTGAAGTTTTTTAGAAGTCAGACCTATGTGAGCAAACCATGGCTACTTCTGCTGCCTCCCGGTGGGATGTTTAATCAGTGATGTTGTGATTCACAGAAACACATTTTTTTGGAATGAAAGGGAAGATGATGTACTTACATTGTAAAATGGTTTACAATAAAGACTGACATCTTATTGCCATTTTTAAAAAAAGAAACCATCACTTTTGTGGTTGTTGGTTGTATGTTCTGTGGGGGTAAAGCAGCTGGGAGTAAGAAGGAACCTTGACATAGCCTCCTGGCAGAAGTGGAAGCCAGAATCAACCAAGGGAAAAAGCAAGCATGCTCCTGCCATTTCCACTTCCCGGCTACTGTTGGTGAAAGCTGTTATGCTGGGGACATGAACAGTGAGGAGTGAACAGCCCACATCCTTGTCCCGGGGGCCAGGGGCTGAAAGGCAGGTCCTCTGAGCAGGGCCAGCTGTGGGCATTGCTGAAGCATCCCAGGAGCCAGCAGCCATCGCGCGCCGCCCGCGGCTGCCTCTTGGACCCATTGCAAGCCCTGGGTTTGTGTTCTAAAGCATTCCTCATGTCAGCATTTGTTTCTGAGCCTAGCAGTCCTTGTCCTGGCCCCTAGGACCGGAGGCATGACAGCAGCAGAGTGGCATTTGGGATAACTGACCATCAGTGCCTGGTTGGATTCCGTCTGCGTGGAGCCTTCAAGGATAAAAATAGTCTCCATCATGAAGTGATGAGGAGCTGGGGTGTAGCTTGCCCTGTGGGACGGGCCTGATGCCGGCCCACATCCACTGCCCGCACTCATCCCAGGCTCGGCTCTGCTGTGCGGGGGCTTCCCTGACAAGGCTGGGCTGTCAGGGGCCGCTACATGGCCTTCCCCTCTCGTCTCAGTCCTGGGAGCGGCAACCCCACGCTCCTCTGTCAGCAGCCTGACCTCTCTTCAGCCCAGAGCCCTCTCAGAGCCTCACCTCAGTCCTCTGTTACGTATTTTGTGTTTCCAACTTGCCAGCATTCTCCCCAAATAGCCTCGTGTCTCCTTCTGGATATTTTACCTCCTGCCTTCTTCATCCCGTTGGTAAAACTTGCACTGGGATCCAGACGGGCAGGGGGAGTCAGTCAAAACATAGATGAAACCGCTACATAGGCTTCCCTTGGCCTCATTGTCTCCACCTGTGAGCCAGTGGGGTCTCCCCAGTGCTCCGAGTCCACTGTGGGGGTCCCATGAGCTCACCCACAGCAAATGTTCCCAAGTGCCAGACAGGAAGCCCTGCTTCTGTGCAGCGATGGAAAGTCTCTTTCCTTTGGAATCCAGGGAGGGGTCAAAGAGAAGGAAAACAAGCTCAGAGCAGTCCAGCCTGGCTCAGATCCCACCCTTTCCTTAGGGACACCCTACCCCCAACACACACACACACACACACACACACACACACACACACACACACACACTATTGCAGACGGTCAGCTCAGCCCGCCACACACATTCCAGGACCCACATTCATAAACACTCAAGTTACTGCCAGTCCCAGCACCTCCCACTTGCAAATAGAGCAGCTGTTCCCCAGGGTGCATTCTCCCCAGCTGTCTGCTTTCCCCAGGGCTGCAGCCCCCCAGGCACAGTGCTCAGCGAGCCCCTGTCATCTCCAAGAATAAACTCTGAAGCCGGTGACTGTGTGGACCTGAATCATCAGAATCTGTCAGAGGAGGGGAGCGACGTCTCCTCGCACAGGGAAGCAGACTATATAAGCTCCAGAGGGCTGGGCGCTGCTCAGTCTCTCCTGCCAGCTCCTGCCGGCCAGCAAGGACCCTCAGGCGGCCCTGTACGGCACCCACCATGTCCCAGGTAGGACCCTGCACAAGCCACAGTGGTGCCAGGGTGAGGGTGGAGAGCCAGACCCTGCCATCTTTGGCAAGTGCGACCTGTGCTGAGCTCCAGGCCTCAGCGCTGGAGGCTTTGCAGCCCCTGGGGGTCTGGGAGCCAGGGAGGACCACCCCAGAGCCTAGCTTACCCACTTTAGTTTTGGCTGGGTGGTGGTCCATGGTTTTTCAGGAAGGGTAGAGGAAATGTGTGACCCCAGGATCTTGGCGTGTGCTTTTGTATGTGCGTGAGGGGCTGCTTGTATGACTTGATGTGTGGAGATACTGTTTGTAGCCATGTGTAGCATGTACACAAAGCTGGCTATAGGTGTGCAACAGTCTGCCTAGGCTTCTCCCCACCAGGAAGTACCTGTGAGTTGCCTGAGGAGCCCAGCCCAGCCCAGCCTAGTGCAGATACCTGCACCTGCCCCCAGAATTTAAGGAATAAGGCCCCAGACTCAAGGGTGCCCAGGGTATCTGTGACTTCATGGGCTTCTGGTTTCTTTACCCATTTCCCACCATAAAGCAAATTAATATTGGCAATTTAGGGGGCAGGGCAATCCCTAAGGGACCTCCTGTCACCCAGTGAGAAGGCCTAAGAATTCACCAAAAGCCTTGGATTCAGCCTCAAAGCCCTGTTTCCCCTGTGCCATTTTGCCCAGGCCTGAGCTTGGCCAAAGAGATAAGTGTGAGACTGCAGCAGCCACATTCAAGAGCTCCCAGTCTGAAGGGAAAAACCTTGGGAGTCTGGGCGGGGGTGGGGGGAGGGTGTCAATAAGGCTTCCTGGAAGAGGAGTGGGGGCCTTGAATTGGCAGGGAAAAGGGGTCTGGGGTTAAAGAGCAGAGGTGGGAAAAGGATCTCAGCTTTGAGGCCTCAGGTTCAGACAAGGCTCTGGGCTTTCCAAGGCTGGTGCCCAGGAAGCGCCCATCAAGAAGAAGCGCCCTCCTGTGCAGGAGGAAGACCTGAAGGGGGCTCGATGGAACCTGGCCAAGAACCAGGAGATCAAGTCCAAGACCTACCAGGTCATGCGGGAGTGTGGTGAGTGATCTCCAGGGCCATGGGGCGGGGCTTGGATGTATGTCAGTTGGGGGATGGAGAAAGAAGGGGGTTCCCACAGGTGCTTTTCTGAGAGATCAGAACCCTGGACTCAGGAGCGCATATCCCTACAAAAGGGACCTCCCCTCCCTCGGAAGCCTGCAGGCCCCTGATCACCCCTCCTCCCCATCTCCCCACAGAGCAAGCTGGCTCCACCGCCCCGTCCGTGTTCAGCCGTGCCAGGACAGGCACAGAGACAGTCTTTGAGAAGCCCAAAGCTGGACCCCCCAAGAGTGTCTTTGGCTAAGAAACACATACCACTCCCCTGGCTGCTACCAACACTTAGACACAGGAGCCTTGCCCAAGAACTTTTTTTATGCTGGAACGTACTTCTCACCTGCCACCTCTGAGACTGCCATCCCCACAGCCCAGGACTCCAATTCTGCACCTGGAAATGCCAATAAAGAGGATACCCAAGTGGCCCAGCTTTTGGAGGGTGTTGGTTGGGCACCAACCATGTTCACTAAGTGCGGGGAGGGGAGGATGGAATGGGGCTTAGGGCATGTTCTGTACCCCTTGTGGGCTTTGGGGAGGGCCCCAAGGGATAACAGGATGCTGTTACGGCCACTGCCACATTCTAGAGAGAAGCTGGGATGTGGAGTCCTAGCGCTGACTTCATGTGACAAGGAGTAGGGGGAGCCTCTTGTATAAAGCGGCCTCAGTGACACTGCTCAGAGACAGACTAGTCAGCTGCTGGAGCTCAGCCCTCTCCCTGATTTCTGCAGAAACTGAGATGCTTCCAAGGAGTCCAATTCCCCGTGGGACCCTGCCACCTCCCCCTGCACTGTGGGTCACACTGGCTCCTGGCCAACTGGTGGCAGTCAGCTTCCTGAGCTACTCTCCCCTCCCAAACAGGGTGAGCCACCCCCCGACTCTGCCTGAGACATGGGAACACGGGGTCTCAGCTCATGTGCGAATGTTCCCTCCTGACCTCATTGTCCCGTCCCAGTGTGTAAATGGGACTGTCCCATTAAGGGACGCCAGAGGCCAGTCCAGCTGTGGCAGCACAGCCTGGACCGACTGGCTCCTGAGACTGGACTGGCAACACTTTGGCTGGCAGTGCCTGGCTCAAGGTTGGTGCCTGTGGGGAGCCTTTCCCACGGTCCTGGCCAGCCTGGCCGCCTTATATATAGTGTTTCTAGGCTGGACCCTTGCTCTGTGTGCCCCAAGAGAGCAGACCTGTGGGGCCAGGGCCAGGCCAGCTCACTGAGCTCTTTGGGAAGGTTCTTCCCTCAGACTGCTGAAGGGGTGTGTCCTGTGTAAGCCCAGTCATATCTAGAGCCAAAAGCTCAGGCAGTACAGGGGTACAGAGATGAGGTTTCTGGTTGGAGATGGGGAACCTTGCAGTGTAGACATGGCCCCAGATCCCATAATGCCCTTTCCCCAGGCCCAGATGCTACTTGTGTTGATGGGACAGACCCTTCCAGAAGTCAGGCATTGCCCAGAGCCCTGCATAGGTCCCCCGCATGCCCTGCCCACCTGCCCTGGGCTCGTGTTCTTCCCCACGGTGTTCTCCCCCAGCCGAGGATTTGGCATCTGGCCACACTGAAGCATCTTTACCCCTCCTGTGGCTTTCCCAGAGCTCCCAGGGACACAGCACCAGCTACAGTCAGGTCATTCATCTTTTTAAAGATTTATTATTTATGCATACAAGAACTGGGGTACAGGCCAGAGGTGCAGGGGGAGAGAGGACTCACTAGAGACAGAGTGGGAGCAGAACAGGCAGATTGACGAAGTCCACCGCTGAGGGGAGCGGCAGGCAGGTCAGGAGAGGCCTGCACCATGTGGGTCAGCTCTGGCTGGGGATCAAACTTGCACTGCAGTGGCTTTGGAGAGCTTTGTAGTGCTGCACTTTAATCCATTGCGCCACCAGGGAGGGCCCTACATTCAGGTTGTTGACCAGTTCTTCACTTTACTGCTAAATTTTTAAAACAGAATTTCAACTTTATTGGAGGATAGTTAGAAAGTCACCTGTGGCCCTACCGCTGGCCCTTGGATCCGGACACATGGCAGGCGCTGCCTTGGTGTGCTGCCTCACACTCAAGCCACATTCCTAGGCCCCTTGGTACAACTGACCTCCCCATATACACACCATACCCAACCCCTCCTTCGGGATCGCAGCATGGTCAGCTCTATCTTCTCAATAAATTCTCCAAAAAATAACTTTTTTCTCAAATTCTCTGGAGTGAGACCTCCAGGTCACAAGGTATGGACATCTTTGGGACTCTCGGTTTGTATTGCTAGTGTGCATGTCTTGTTTAGGGGGCCTTGCTGGAGTTGACCCAAGATCCCTGAGGCCCGAATAACAGTTTGGGACCCCCGAGGCCCTGCCTTGCCCCCCTCATGCATCCTTAAGGGCTTCTTGATGCCTGTAGGGTCCCCACTGTCCCGTTGCACCGACCTGATTCCCAGGCCTCCTCCCCAGAAACTGCCTTTAGCCCTCTTCCTCCTCATCCCTGTTTCCCCAAGGTGGGGCTAGTGGGGAGCAGCTGGCTCACTTTGTGTCCCCCAGCATTGGGGAGCTTGTCGGGAATGGCTAATCTGAGGGGCACTGGCTTGGGACTGTTCTGGACCTTTCTGAAGGGGCTCCAACACCCGACTCCCACCTCAGCCTGCGTCCTCGGTACAGGCTCTGCCCTAGCCAAGGTCCACAGGACACTGGCAGTTGGCCTGCTTATCTGAGGCCACTCAGTTTTTGGAATGTCCCAGAATCTGCCCCCGCAGGGGCAGGGCAAGGAGCAAGTTACTAATTCATCCCCAACTTCCACTCAAATTCAGAGGCAGCCTGCTAGGCACTGGAGCCAAAATGAAGACCCCAGGCCCTGTCCATGTCTGTGGCATCGGGCTGGTCCTGCTCTCACTGCTTGCTGTCTTCCAGACCACGGCTGCCCAGAAGGTAGCAGTCATCCATGGGTGCCTCTGTGCGTGTGGTGTGAGTGGGGGGAGACGCAGGAGAGCCTGTGGGTGCAAGCGTGCCCGTACGCATGCAGGGTGTGTACAAAGATGGCACTGTCCCTCTGCCAGCCACTACCCCAGGGCTTTGTGGGCAGTGCCCCATTTAATAGAAAGGGGGTGATCCCACTTTTCTCATTTTTTTAAGATTTATGCATACAAGAACTGGGGTACAGGCCAGAGGTGGGGGAAAGGTGGTGAGAGACTTCACCAGAGAGAGTGGGGAGCAGAACAGGTAGATCGACTGAAATACATTGCTGAGGGGAGTAGTGGGCCTGTCAGGAGAGGTCTGCTGCACCATGTGGGTCAGATTCCTGGCCAGGGATTGAACTTGTGCTGCAGGGGCTGGTGATAGCTTCATACTGCTGTGACTTAACCCCTTGCACCACCAGGGAGGCCCTCTATTCTCATTTTATAGGTGAAAAAATGCAGCTTAGCGAGATGCCCCTGGACATCAGCAGTCGATGGGTGGGGAGGGTGGGAATGGGTTTCAGGAGCCTGGCTCCCCTCCCCAGCCCTGCAACCTAGAAAAAGTAACTTACGCTTTCAGTTTCTGTTTCCTCTTCTGTGACTCAGGATAGCAGAACCTATTGGGAGGTGCACTGTGAGGATTAAGCCCATAGTACCCGACAAGGGCGCAGTCCAGTGCCTGGCCTAGTAAGCGCGGGTGAACAAGCCTTTGGCCAGTCACACTGTGCTAAGCTGCACACGCTGAGCAGCGCGAGTGTGTGCATGGTGGTACGCAGGCAGGTGTGCGAGCCCCTGCGTGAGTGCACCTGTGTCCCTCCTCGTGGTGAAGGGTGAAGAGCAGGGGCCAGGGGATGCCGG